GACTCCCCGCCGAGCAGGGAGCCTGATGTGGGACTCGATCCCGGGACTCCAGGACCATGACCTGAGCCGAAGGCAGTCGCCTAACCAACTGAGCCACCCAGGCGCCCCCCAAATAGAGAATTCTTATCCATGAGGGCAATTATGGATCCGCATCTCCTACTTACCTGATGAAGCCCCTTTCTTCAGAAAACTCCCAGTTCCTTCCAACTCCATCAGTGTGGTTACCAAACACCGCCAAACATGTGAGTTTAGGTATTTGTTGTAGTTGAACAAACAGAATCGTGATTATATTTCACAACTGACATAACTGATTTCACATATCTCTATGTATATATCCGTACCCATTCCCAGACCTGTAGCTGGTGTCCCTGACAGTTAACAGAGCTGTTTTTCTTCCAAGAAGTTGGATAGGGTAGGGGTATATCCCACTCACGGCTTTCCATAATAGTTCCACAGACGAGACCTTCTTGTGGTTGATGGATGATGAGGGAGGATAGATCAAGGATCATTTCCTAGGTCTTTGGACTAGGCGTCTAAATTAAAGTCTGGGCCATTCACTTAATATAAAAGAATCACATGGGGAAAAGTGAAGTGTTTGAACTTGGTTCAGATTTTGATGTACAAATAAGGTAGCCTGGAATTCAGATGAAATAATTGCAATCAAAGGAAGATTCGGGGTCCTCAGTGCACAAGTGATCACTGAATTCAGCAACATGGATATGTTCACCCGGGAGACGGTGGATTCAGAGAAGAATGTCAAGGATGGAGCCCTGGACACAGCAACGTCTAAGGGAGAACAGGAAGACCAAGAAGGTGACGGGGAAGAAAGGGAAAGTGGGTCAGTGGCGAGAGTTGCGCTACCGAATTCAAAAGGAAGAGAGAACAATGGGCAGAAGGGTCAAAGGGAGCAGAATGAATATGTATTTTCCCAACATAATCTTGTGAATGCTAAACAAGGAAAGGTATTTCCGCTCTTAGCTTAATGCCTCTGGTATTTTTTGTCTTTTTCATTTCAGCTATTTTTGGGCTAATTTTTAAAACTAACCTTCAGAATACATATGTCATGCATGTTTATGTATCAGTTTGCTAGGGCTGCTATAATAAATTACCACAAATTTGGTGGCTAAAAAAAAATTTGTTCTCTCATAGTTCTAGAGCCCAGAAGTCTGAAGTCAAGGTGTTGTTGGCAGGGTGAGTTCCTTCTTATTGAGTAAGGAAAGGGTTAAGTACAGGCAGGGTGACACAGGAGGCCGCTGACTAGGCTCTGAAACTCTTCCTGGCTGGCAGAGAGGCTAAGATAGAGCAGAACAAGAGATGAGTGAACAGGGGCGCCTGGGTGGCTCAGTTTGTTACACCTCTGCCTTTGGCTCAGGTCGTGATCTTCGGCGGGGGCGGGGGCGGGGGGTGTGTCTTGGATGGAGCCCTGCATAGGACTCCCTGCTCAGCGGGGAGCCTGCTTCTGCCTCTCCCCCTGCTCATGCCCTTTCTCTCTGTCAAATAAATAAATAAAATCTTTAAAAAATATATCTTAAAAAGAGAGAGAGAGAGAACAAACCAGACCAGCTGGCTCTGGATGTGAGCGGGGTTTTCTTGTTTGTTTGTTGGCAACTACATTGTAACCACAGAAAATGACCAGACCTCAAAGAAAAAGTAAGCCATCAGGGATGCTATCAAGAGTCTTTGCTCAAAGCAAGAGGGCACAAGAATCTCAAGGCCACAGGCTTCCTGGTCAGTTCTCAATAAAAGACTGTCAGTAAAAGCCCACCGGGACAACCTATTCGTGACCCCTCTCACTCTAGACAGCTTTTTCCCTTTCCTTTCTATTCTCACCTTCACTTAATAAAAGTTCACTTCACTTCACTCTTTTGTGTCCATGAGATTCATTCTTCGACTCCGACGAGAACCCTGCGATCCTGCAACATGAGGGGCTCAGAGGGAGAATCTGTTCGGTACCTTGCTCCCGGCTTCTGTGGGTGGCCAGCAATTCTTGGCATTCTTTGGCTTGAGGCAGGATAACTCCAATCTCCGCCTCAGTATTCAGACAGCATTCTTCCTGGGTGTGTGCATCCAAATTTCCCTCTTCCTATAAAGACAGCAGTCATTGGATTAATGTAGTAGGACCTCATCTTAACTTGATTAAATCTACAAACATATTTCCAAATAGGGTCATATTCTGAGGTTCCGGCTCGACATGAATTTTTGGAGGACATTATTCAACCGAGTAGAATCACAAATTTACAGGTGCTATAGCTACTAGACTTTAGAAAGAGGGATAAATTTAAGCTATTAGAATGGTACACAAAATAAATTATATGTGGGCACCTGTTGGAGGAGGTCATCGAGAGGACATGACCTCCCACTGACCTATGAATTGGACCGGGGGAAGCAGAGGTTCCTCACCACCTTCTCTGTCCTTGGAATGTATGTTCTGCCCACAGTGGAACCACTGCAAGGACACTACCTTAAGAGAATAATATGTTATTGAGACCATCTGGACTCTATGCTGACTGAACCCAGGTAAGGCTTCTACATAAACTCTCAAGATTCTGGCTGGCAGGGGCAGAGATCTATTCTTCTTGCAGCTGCCCAAGACAAGCCTCGTATGTGAGCTCCCTTGCTTGTTAAACCTGACGTGTACCAGTCTGGAGTGGTCTGCTTCTTTTCTTTGGTCTTTCCTTCCCTCCCAGCATGGGGTCAGTTTTGAAAGTCACAGCAGGGTGCTCCCAAGGTTGGAACCAACAGCATGGAATTTTTTGCAACTTAGTTTCCTTCCGTTGTAGTAGGAGCTCAAGTAAGTTAAGACTCACTTTTTTTCTTTTATTTTAAAGATTTTATTTATTTATTTGAGAGTGAGAGAGAATGAGAGATAGAAAGCACGAGAGGGAAGAGGGTCAGAGGGAGAAGCAGACTCCCTGCTGAGCAGGGAGCCCGATGCGGGACTCCATCCCGGGACTCCAGGATCATGACCTGAGCCGAAGGCAGTCACTTAACCAACTGAGCCACCCAGGCGCCCCCAAGACTCACTTTGTAGAAATTCTTCATATTCAATATTTTTTAATTTGGCATCACATCTGCTGTGAGAGACATCTCCCAGAACTGTTTCTATAAAGAAGAAATTAAAATTTTTTTTCACTCACTAAAACAGAATCAGAAAGCTTTTCCAACCCTTTGGGATCTGGCCTGGTAGTTTCCATAGCCGAGTAGATGGCTAAACTAATGGACACTTTAAAACTCTGGAAGTAATGAGGTGTGGCAAAGGACCATACGTTTATTTAGACAAAAGTACCTTCTCTTCATTTTCATCAAATATTTACACTGTACCATGGTCTTTGTGGCCATTAGGTCGTAAATGTATCGAGGCCTAAAACAAAATTCTCTCCCTGGGGTGACACTGGAAGGAGAAAAACTGCACAACCCAGAAGTAACATTTGGGCTGATTCTGACATCTTTTGAGCGATTCGGTCAATTCAAGAAGTGATTCTAAGATAGGATATGATTCACGAGCAATCCTTCTTAATCACTCCTGGGTTCCTTCCCCTCCTACAGTGCTTGGCTTTCATGATACTGTCCAGGGTCCCCAAACCGGACCAGAACAGGTCTAGCAAATCTCCATGAATAATCCTCCAAACCATCAGGCATCCCAGTCGTCCAGACACTGGAACACCACCCTCTCTTCTCTGGCCCCTATCTGTCCACAGAAGCGTGGTGGTTCTCCACCCTCTTGGGAGCTTCCCACCTGAAATCTGAAACTGGCCAGTACTTGGAGGGCAGGGAGCGACCTAAGAGAGACACTGGCCATTCCGGGGTGGTAGGTGCAGTTTTAATAAAGGGAACTTATGGAGGAGGCTTGTCTTTGGTGCCAACAAGGTGAGCGCATCCCTGCACCCCTCTGCCAAACCTTACAAGTTGATGCAGAGGCCTGAACTAGGCTTGCTCAGGTATACCGTGTAGGTATTCTCAACACTAGGACACTACCTCAAGGCTATGACCATGGAGCAGCCCCTGGGAGCCCCACGGGCAAGCAGAACCCACTTTCCGAGGACAGGGGAAGGGGTGAGGAGCCCCAGATTGTCCAGGTGCAGCTCAAGGGTCAACTGGAGGTCATGTCTTTTCCATGACTTCCCCCAACAGGGCAGTATTAGGATGGTCTCCATTCCAGCTCAAGTCCACAGGGCCCTCTATAGTCCAACACATCATTATAAAGAGGCGCCAAATAGGTATTTCAAAGGCCCTGTATATTTGAAATACGAGTTTCAAAGACTGAATGGCATTTTTTGAGAGGAAAAGCAAGTAGTAGCATACATGGCTCTTTTGTGAAACAAATTCTTTAGGACTCCTGCTACAGATGAAACTTTGTCAGACAGAAGCGTTTCTAGATAGGAGCGAGAACCAGGGTCTTAGAACTGTTCGAACACCTTTTAACTGCTCTGGCCGCCTAATGGACACACAGTCCTAAGTTTGGCAAGAGAGCTCGTCTCCTGCCCGAAGATTTTCTGCCAGGGAGCCCAGGGTTCTGTCTCTCGCTTGGGATAACAAGTGGCCGCGCGCGGTCACCCCAGCTCCTGGGTCCCTCGGCTGCCCTCAGCGTCCCGCCGCCTCGGGGCCCGCTGGCCCTGGCAGGAGACGGCGGGGGGGGGGGGCGCGCTACGCCTCCCTCGGCCCCGCAGAGACTTCGGTTCCACTTTTCCTTTCCAGGCCTCTCCCACTTCCTTTCCCACAGCTCCCCGCCCGTCCGCCCGCCAAGCCCGGGGCCGCACCTCCGCGGGGTGTCGTCCGCCTCCCGCAAGGTCCCAGCCGCTTCCCCCCGGGGACTCAAAGGGGGAGAATTCCTGTGGGTCCCAGGAGTGCCAAGAGTGCGCAGCAGGACGGGAAATTGCAAAAGTCCTCAGCCCTCTGCCCTCCCCCGCGGTTTTCCCGTAATGCCCGCCCCTCGGCGCTCGCCCCGCAGCTGATTCATAGCCTGGGCGCGGGGCCGCCCCTGCACGTCCACACCCGCGTCCGCACCCGCGGCCCCGCGCCGCCCAGGACCCGGCCCGGCCCGCGGAGCCCTCCGCCCGCTCGCGCGGGGTGAGTACCCCGGCCGCCCGCCCGCCCGCCTTCCTCCGCGCCCCGCGCAGCCTTCCCCGCGCCCCGCCGGCTTTTCCCCGCGGGCGGCCCCGGCGCGGCGCCCGGAGGGATCCCACAGCTTTGTAGCCTCTTCCCGGTGTCTGCCCGGCCGGTGGCGGCGCGGCGCACCGCCGCCCGCCTGCCCTGCCCGGCGCCGCCTCTGCTCCGCGTTTGCTTTGGCTCGCGGTTCGACCTGCTCCGGGACGGTGTTCCGAGGGGTCCCCGCCTCTGGCCGGCCGACCCGCGCGGCGAGTAACACTAAAATTAATTCTTTCCAGAGCGCACGCTGCCGGGCCCACCGCGGCGTTTCTACCCGGCGGGAAGTTCACGGTCCCGTCGCTTCTTTCTCAGTCGTCGGGGATGTTTATTGAGTTAAAATTCCCAAGTAACCCACTTTTGCCTCTCTCCCAACACATCGCCACGGGAGTTAATTGTCCCCAACCACCCCCGCGCCCCCTAACATTCCCTCCGCTCCGCGCTGTCCGTGATGTCCCTCCTTCCCGTCTCTGTTTACACCTGGAAGTGGGCGGCGCTCACAGCCGGGTGCAGCCTGGAGATCCCGGTGGCGCGGTGCTGCGGGCAGGCACCTAGTCTCCTCTGCCACGTGAATGGAAGGAGCACCTAGCTGGCCGGCTGAGCAGCGGGAGACTTGGAAATGCAAGCGCCCCACTCCCCACCCGCATAGAGCGGTTCAGGAACTTTCCAAGACCATAGAGCGGGCCCCGGTGATTCCGAAAACGCCGCGTGGCCCAGGGCTTTGCCCCTGACACCGTGAGTCTTTTATTGATAGTCCTGGGCCTGTCCTTCAGCAGCCCGTCCGTGCCTGCATGCATGCATCCTGCCTGCCTGCCCAGTGGTGGGAAGCGCGCGTTTGGGTGCCCCTGAGCAAGGCCACTTGGTAACCGACAGGCTGGAAGACACTCTGTGAATAAGCTTATGCTCCAACTCAAGAGGACTAAATGTGGGGGTCACTGTAGAGGATGCGATCGAAGTGAGTGTGGTATATTTGATTTGAGCTGGAAGGAAAGAAGCTTGGGGTATTATGCCCAAGTCTAACGCTGACTTTGGGACTGGGCTGGAGTTACTCCTCTGGTCAGCCTCGGTTTTCTCCCTCGCAGAATAATGATGGTTCACACTTAACTGTGGCCCGGGTGCTGTTCTGAGTACTTTACATATGCCTGCTCATGTAAGCTTCACCAGTGAGCTAGGTAGTAGTTTTGTCATTCTCCTTTTATCAGCAAGGATACCAAGGCCTAGAGAAGTTCAGTAACTTGTCTGTGGTCACACAGCAAACAGGTGAGAGTCAGGAATTGGCTCAGGCTTCTGCTTATAAGCACTATGCTGTGCCTTCAACTCTAGGACCCTCTTTGGAGTGGTCCTGGAGGTGGTGCTCCATTACTGCCTTCCTTTGTCTCTCTCCTGGGCTGCTTTAAAATGCACTCAGACACCCCTGGGACTGAAGGGCCCCAGACTGAGCTGGGCCTCAGAATCAGTCTTTTTAAAGCACTGGTCTCCCACTTACCTATTTAGAATCTTCAGGTCATGCTCAGTTTGTGTCTGCCCTGGTAGCATTCAGAAGTATTAGAAGCCAATAGCAGGGAGCTCACCACCTCATATTTGATTGCTGGACAAAATTAATTCTCAGCTGTAACCTGCCTCCTGGTGACTTACATCTTTGTCCCAGTTCTGCCTCTTGTTGTCCCAGCAAATATGTCTGAGCGTTTTTGTATCAAAGGCCAGCTTGAGAGTGTCCAACAGGACTCAGGCCACATGGGGGAAAATACTTTCTTACACACTGGGTCTCTCTTTCTATCCCTTTCTTTAACCTGGAAGACCAGGAGCACCTACACAGGTGTGCTTGGAGGTGTCCCAGACACTCTGATGTTCCTTGTAACCCTTTTGTCCTGAAGAAGGAACCAAGTCAGGAAAACTACCATGGTTTTGAAAGAGAGATCAGTGGTAATACGCTTCCACAAGAGGAAGGACTATGTTTTCCTTGTGGGAACTGGGCTGGGGCATTGTTGGCTCCCGTAGAAGGAAATCTGAGCGAGTGTCATCTTGCTCACTTACAGGAACAGTGAGACCTGGACCTCCTTTCCCTGGAGAGGGAAACTCTCCTTGATTAAAAAAAAAAAAAAAATGTGAAATAGGGAAAAATAAAACACATACAATATTGTGAGAAATATGCCTCTCTCCAAGCAGGCTTCTTTGGAGTTACATAAAGTGAGCCTTTCTTCCCCAGCAGCTGTGTAATTGGCTTCCCAGCCTTCCTCCCCTTCTCATTTTAGTTCTCCAGTTGGCCCCGGAGCCACGCGGGGGTTGGGGTGCCTAAAACCCTGCATGTAACTTTGGTCTCCCCCAAAACTTAACTACTAGTAATCTACCGTTGACCAGGAGCCTTACTGATAACACAGTTGATGAACACATTTTGTATGTTATATGTATGATATACTCTGTGTTTACAACGAAGTAAGCTAGAGAGAATGGGAGATGTTATTAAGAGCGTCATAAGGAAGAGAAAATACACTTACAGTTCCGTATTGCATTTATTGAAAAAATCCGTGTATAAGTGGACCTGTGCACTTTAAACCCACGTTGTTCAAGGGCCAAGCCTACTGGTTTTTCAGCATTTATTTATTCCAGGTTGTCCGAATTTCATTTTTATGTTTTAAAAATAATACAAATAATAACTGAATATGTTCTCATTCAGAAAAATAGAGAAGCATATAGAATAAATTGTAGAACTACCGTGGTCCTCTCCTACTCCCACTCAGAAGAGGAAAGATGAAGTTTGGTAAATACCATTCTGAGATTTTATTTTGTTTTCTATGCATTTGCATGATAATGTATCCATACATATATCTTAATATATATAAATGAGATCTTACTATACATTGTGCAGCTTACTTTTTCATTTTCCAAGTCTTAGAGATTTTCCCATGTCAGTACAAACACTTTTGTTAAAGGCTATATGTTATTCTAAATTAGAAATACAGTTTATCCATTTTTTTCCCTTATTGGACATTTGGATGGTTTAAAGTTAGTCAGCATTGGCAACAGGACTTCAGGAAAGACTGTGCATTCATCTTTGTGTGTCAGCCTGAATATTTCTGTGAAATAGAGTTCTAGGGTCAAAGGGTTGGTCCATTTTTCCACTTGAATCCTTCAAATCATAACACTGCCCCACCCCAGGTCCTAATGTAAAATCAGTGCATGAGAATCTGTTTCCGTCATCCTTCCCATCAGCCATTATCTTTTTTTGTTTATTTAAATTTTCAAATCTGGTAAATGAGTGAAACGCGGCGTGGCATTTTAATTTGCATTTTGCCGATTACTACTGCAGTGTAAGGTCTCTTAATGTTTATGGGTCATGCGTGTCTTCTGTGAATTACCTGTTCCTGTGTTTTGCTCGTTTTTCTATTGAGTTGCTTTTTCTGATTCCTGTTTATTGCAGAAGCTCTGTACCTATTCAGGATCTTAATCCTTTGTCTGTTGTAGGTGATTTAAATATTTCTTCTCGTATGATTTCTTCTTTTTTTTCCCACCAGCTTTTTTTGTGGTAAAATACATAAGATAAAATTTGCCATTTTAATCATTTTTAAGTATACAGGTCAGTGTTTTAAATACACTCGTAGTATTGTGCGCCCGTTGCCAACATTCATCTCTAGAACTCTTTCCGTCTTGTAAAACTGACACTCTGTGCCTCTTGAACATAACTCCCCATTCCCCCGGGCCCCAGCCCCTGGCAGCCAGCATTGTACTTTCTGTCTCTATGAATCTGACTACCCCAGGTGCCTCATGAATGGATGAATCATATAGCACTTTTCGTTTTGTGACTGACTTATTTCACTTAGCAAAATGTCCTCAAGACCATCCATGTTGTAGCTGGTGTCAGAACTTTTTTCCTTTTTAAGAATGAATAATATTCCATTGTATGCATATACCACGTTTTGCTTATCCATTCATAATGCTTTTGTTTTAAACTATCTTTTGCTTCACAGACGTTTTAAATATTTGTGTAATCAACTCTGCAATCTTACGATTTTTTACAAGATTTTATTTATTTTTACTTTAGAGAGAGAAAGCTAGAGAGAGCAGTGGGAGGGACAGAGAGTGAGGGAGAGAACCTCAAGTCAGACGCTACGCTGAGCTCAGAGCCCTCCACGGGGCTCGATCTCACGACCCTGAGATCATGACCTGAGCCGAAACCAAGAGTCGGTCGCTTAACTGACCGAGCCACCCAGGTGCCCTGCAATCTTATGATTTTTGTGCTTCACCTGGCTTAGGGGGAGATCTTTTGCACCTAAAAATTGTTTTGAAAATTATCTTATTTTCTTCTAATACTTTTATTGTTTTGATGTGTACAGTTAGCTCTTTACAATACCAGATTTTTGTATGAAGTAAAAGGTAAGGATGTAACTTAATTTCTTTCTAAAGTTTTAGGCAGTTCACCCAACACCATTTAAGTATCTGTCTTTTTTCCAACTCACTTGAAATTCTGTTTTTATAGTAAAATAAATTCCTGTTCATACAAGAGTCTATTTCAGGACTCTATTCTCTTCCATTGATCTGTTTTGTCTCTTCTTAGACCAGTACCACCCTGTGTTAAATGCTACAGCTTTGTTTATATATCTAGTCATATATATTTGTATTTTTTTTTCCAAAAAATTCTTTTAGAAATGATTCTTGTACATTTTCTCTTTTGTATAAGCTTTACGAATTGCTTGTCAAATTTTAAAAAATCCTATTGGAATTTTTGTTAGGATTTCTTGGGTTTATTTTATTTTATTTTACTTTTAAGATTTTATTTATTTATTTGACAGAGAGAGACACAGCAAGAGAGGGAACACAAGCAGGGGGAGTGGGAGAGGGAGAAGCAGGCTTCCTGCAGAGCAGGGAGCCCGATGCGGGGCTCGATCCCAGGACCCCGGGATCATGACCTGAGCCGAAGGCAGACACTT